GCCGCAGGGCCTTCCGTGTGGTGTGGACTGCGCATGTGGGTCCGGTCAGCTGTTGTCCTGGGAGCGCAAGGGCCGGGGCTCCTCACCTGGGCTCCTCCCACACAGGCCTGGGCCCCGCCCCTCTGCTGCCCCACGAATCCCCAGCTGCAGAGCCTTCCGTGTGGGTGCGGACTGCGCACTGGGGCCTGGGGGGGCCTGGGGCCTGGGGGGGCCTGGGGGGGCCTGGGGGGGCCTGGGGCCTGGGGGCGCGGGACGGGTCAGTTGGTCCCCTGGGGCTCCTCGCCGATGCTGGGGCCCTTTTCCTTGCTAGGCTGGCTCCCTGGGCGTGGCTGCCTGGCTCTTCTCACCCCGTGGAGGGCCGGGCACTGAGGGGCCTCGTGGGGAGTGGCTGAGCGAGTGGGGTCCACAGGTGGGAGGGCTGCCCCGCAGCCCTCGGGGTGTGAGAGGCGGTGCCAGGCTTGGTGGACCTGCAGCCTCTCCCACGGCCCTGGCGTGGCTCGGCCGAGTCTGGCAGGGCGACCGCACCGCTCTGGCTTGGGTGGCTCGGCCTTCATTCTGTCCCTCTGCGTGCAGGACGTGGTGAACACGCACCCGGGCCTGTCCTTCCTGAAGGAGGCGTCCGAGTTCCACTCCCGCTACATCACCACGGTGAGTCCCAGCGCCAGCGGCCCCCCTCGCCGGGGCCAGTGTTGGGAGAGCAGCTGCGGAGTGACCAGGGCTCCCGCAGGCTTTCGCCCCGCCCCTGCTGCCACCGCCACCGCCACCGAGTCGAGTCAGACCTATCAATCACAAGCTTGTGGGCCAGGCACCAGCGCTGCCACCCCTGAGGGACAGCGCGTGGCCTCATGACACTGGAGCACCTGAACGCAGCGTCCGCTGGCCTCGGGCTTCTGGGTTGTGACAGTGCTCATATGTCCTGCGGGACTCAGGGACATGGTGAGGGCGCCTGTCCTGGGGCCATGGTGACAGGGACATGTCTGCCCCGGGGGGTCGTGGGTGGGGCAGAGTGGACTCCTCGGAGCGCTGCCCTCCTTGCATCTGGTGGGCTCAGCTGACCCTGCTGCCCACTCGTGGGGCTGTGGGTCTGCACTGCCCATGAGCAGAGGTGCCGGATTTCCAGAGGTGGCCTGCGGTGGGGCATGAGGACTGGGGCAAGAGACGTCCCAGCGCCAGGGTGGGGGTCAGCAGGGGGGCGCACCTACGATCAGCTGCGGGACACCCCTGCCCTGGGGCAGAGCTAGCCCCGTCTGCAGGTGGCTGGCTGTGCCACATGGGAGGGAGGCCACTGCCACCGCGTGTGCCTCGTCACGGTGCCGGGCTGTTTGTGGAAGTCTCCGCGCAGGTTCTCAGCCCAGGCTCACCCTGCACTGTCCTCAGCCTCTGTCATCCCTGTCCTGGCCCCCAGCTCACCTCTCCTGGCCGTGAGCAGCTCAGACGTAGCCCTGGGCCTGGAGAGCCCTCCTCATCCCTCCCTGCAGCCTGAGCAGGACTCCATCCCTGTCCAGCACAGCCCTGGCCCTGCTGTGTCCCGTGCCCTCAGGGCAGCCCGAGCACAGCAGGGCTCTGCCCTTATGCAGCTGGGGCCTGCTGTGGTTTTGAAAGGCCCCGCCTGACTTGTGGGGGGCGGGCGCCCTCTGCTGGTGACTGGAGCGCGGCGCAGGCCCCTCCTGACCTGCTGGTGCGGTGCTGAGGGTGCTCCTCCTGCAGGTCATCCAGAGGATATTCTACACCGTCAACAGGTCCTGGACTGGGAGGATCACCTGCACCGAGCTCCGGAGGAGCACCTTCCTGCAGGTGCGTCCAGGGGAGGTGGGCTCCTTCCTCTGCTGGAGGACCCGGSTGCGGGCCCCGGCACAGAGGACCCTCAGGCCACCCAGCACCAGGTCCCATCAGGGGACACAGAGTCTCCAGCATGGCCAGCCTGTCCTCGGCATGGCCTGACATGTGTGCCCGCCCCGCGCCTTGGCCTCCCTCCAGACTTCCTACACTCACCCCTGAGGAAGCTGCCCTCTCTCTGAAGCCGCCCCTTCCTCAGAGCAGAGCCCGTCCCCTAGACACAAGAGGCTCCGGGCCCTTTTTCAGGAGCTCTACCAAGCCATT